CCTGCTTCTAATGCCACACCTGGCGTTAGGTCCGCTCCAGCACCTGCTTCTAATGCCACACCTGGCCTTAGGTCCACTCCAGCACCCGCTTCTAATGCCACACCTGGCCTTAGGTCCGCTCCAGCACCTGCTTCTAATGCCACACATGGCCTTAGGTCCGCACCAGCACCTGCTTCTAATGCCACACCTGGCCTTAGGTCTACACAAGCACCTGCTTCTAATGCCACACCTGGCCTTAGGTCCGCTCCAGCACCTGCTTCTAATGCCACACCTGGCCTTAGGTCCGCTCCAGCACCTGCTTCTAATGCCACACCTGGCCTTAGGTCCGCACCACCACCTGCTTCTAATGCCACACCTGGCCTTAGGTCCGCTCCAGCACCTGCTTCTAATGCCACACCTGGCCTTAGGTCCGCTCCAGCACCTGCTTCTAATGCCACGCCTGGCCTTAGGTCCACTCCAGCACCTGCTTCTAATGCCACACCTGGCCTCACCATAGATCAGACTGTCTCTGAAATCTCACCCATCCCACCCTCCCCCGGCTCCTCCCTCCTGGCCCGCCAGTGCTCCACGCTTCTCCAGCACATGCAGTCTCCCATCTGCTGACCCACACCCTTCCTCACTCTCACTCAACCCCTTTCTGGCTCCGCCTGTCCCTGTGCCCAGGCTCACTGCCTCTCTGACTGAGCACCCTCAGCTGCCTTGTCCCCATCCTTCCGTCCAATCCCCACCCGACAGAGCCTCCGCCCCGGGCCTCCCTCTCATCCACGCATCACGCAAGCAGCAGACGCTCCCGAGAAAATCCCACACCTGGTGCCTGCACTCCACACTGGGAATCCCCGCTCTGGGTCAAACGTGTCCCCTAAAATTTCATGTACTGGAAAGTCGACCCGCATTGTAACAGCGTTCAGAGGTGGGGAATCCAATATTTGAAAGGTGGGGCCTTTGAGAGGTGATTGGATCATGAGGACAGCCTTTGTGAAAGGACTAATCCATTCACAAAGGCAGAGTAAGGGGTGGTCACGGGCGTGGCTCTGATGGCTTTGTAAGGACAGCAAGTGACAAGGTTACGCTCTCTTGCTCAGCCCATGCTTACCATGTGACACCCTGGTCACCACAGGACTCTGCAGAGAGTTCCCACCCAGAAGAAGACCCTCACCAGATACGCCCCCGGACCTTGGACTTCCCAGCCTCAAAAACTTAAGAAATAAATTTGATTTCTTTATAAATTACCCAGTTTCGGGTATTCTGTTGTAAGCAACAGAAACAGACTAATAAAGCCCCAGACCGCACGTGGGTGACCCACTGCAGCCTGCCCTCCCACGACACTTCCCTGGGAAGTCTACTCTGCCGTTCTCCGGAACGGCTGTTCCGTAACTTTGCTCTCCGCTCAGTCCTCTTCCACAACCACTGCTGTGCGAGGAGCCACCTCCAGGTCACTGAGAACACAGAAGCCGTGGGAGGAGAGCCCATCTGCTCCCAGCCCCGGCCACCGCTGCCATGACGCTGCTCCTGCTCTGCCAGAGTTACCAGTGACCTCCGTGCTGGCCCAGTGATGCTCATGGCTTCACCCTCCCCGGCTTCCCAGCAGTCAGGGGCCAGTGACCTCTCCTCTCTGGTGACACCCTCCCCTCTCTTGACTCCCAGCTCCCCACACACTTGTGTCTCCCGCGTCGCCGTCTCCTCCTCCTCGGAGTCCTTTCCAAGACATTCCCCTCCTGACCCAGCTGTACTTTATAATTCCTCAAGGCTGCTCCCTGCGGCCTCTTCTCTTCTCTAGCCACTCTCTCTCCAGAATGCACCTCTCAAAGACCTCTCCTCTGAGCCCAGATGTGTGTGAGTCCCCGAATGCCTCCTGCTCTCCTCAGACTTAACACACCTACAGTAAAGCTGTGGACTCTCCCCCTAAACCAGTTGCTGCTCCAGCCTTCCCGTATCAGGTGAGACTGAACTCCAGTCTCCCGTCCCCCGTGCTCCCACGGTGCTGCCTGCTGATGGCTCTGCGGGGGGGGCCTGGCCCCTTGTGCTGTAGGGTCACCGTGCCTGCTGTTCCTTCTGCCTGGAACACTCTTCCCTCCGCTCTTTGTTTGCCTGTCTCCTTTCTGTCCTGAGGCTTCGCAGACTGACCTTCCCTCACCCTTTCTATCACAGCCCCGTTGAGTGCCTTCACATACTTACCACACTCTGGGAATATTTTGTTTGGCTGCTAGACCAGCAGCCACGTCTGTCTCATTTGCCAGTACTGTGTAGTGCTGGGCACAGTGTCTGGCACCTACCAGATAGTCAAGAATATTTGTTGAATATTTACAAGTTAATCACTAAGATTAAGGGTGATGTTTGTACACAAGGAGTTAAAACTCTATCTAGCTGGGGAAAATCTAAAATAAGGGCAATGAGCTGCCCATGTTAATAAAGAAGTTGAAACTTCTGGAACAGAACTATCTTCATCAAGCACAACTCCTTTGCCATAAATTCAAGAAATTGGAGCACAAAGAGTTTGCATGACCGGCCTAGAATCACATGGCTGGTCAACGTAAGAGCAGGGACAGTCTAGGCCTCCCATCCACAGTCATGATGTCCCCGTAGTGTTTACAAAGCATAGGGAAATAGTTTGCTTCCAAAAGTATGTAAGCCCAGAGAAACCCAGTGGCTGGAAATTTTCACTCAAGGTTTCCTTAATTGCCAGGATAGAAATAGGCGTAAGCAGCACAAAGCGCAGGGCGGGGGTCCGGCCGGGGTCCCCGGCGTGCGTTTCCACTGCTCTTCTCTGTCCATTCCCACTCAGGGCATTCTGCTCCAGGTTCTGACATCCCTGTTGGCTCACCTGAAGGATTCTGGTCAGTTCTATTGGCCATTGAGTGAGAGGAAAAGCCGGAAAACTGAATGAGGTGAAACGCAAGTGACACCGGACTGGCCTCTCTGACTCAAACACCTGCTGTGAAGGGCATTCTCCAGAAGGTAACTTTCACATGCACCTTTCTTACTGCACCACTAGGGCCCAGGGCCAACGTCTAAATTAAGTAGAGATGTCACAGTCCTGAGCTTTCATTTTATTTCAACTAAAGCTTGTTCGAAAGTCATTTGGAGGAAGTCTGAGCTGACTGTCTGGATGTTGGAAGCCTGGTGAGGAAAAGCAGTGACATTCGCTTCACATCTGTGCCATGACTAGAGCAGGTGGTCAGCCAAGTGCTACCAAGAAGAGGTCAGTTCCACAGGTGAGCAGATAAATATGTTTTTAACAAAGACTTTAAAATGCTCCACTCTTAACTTCACTCAATGGTATGTCTCCCCAAAAGGTTTACTTTTAAATTGTTGTCACTTCTTTTTCAGAGAAAATTCTACCCGAAGCCCCCATGATAAAATAGATGAAGCAGTCTTTTATTACGATACTTATTTTTTTAGACTCAGACTTGTAGCCTTTACTTACCAGGTTAGCAAATAAGAGCTGGGAAGATGTGTTATTCCACACAAGAAAAGTTAAATCATTGGCTGCAGATGAAACCCAGAGTCCTAACAAGCCTCAGCATTCACTCCCCAGTTATCAGCAAGCCCTACTGTGTGCCATACTCTGCTTAGGCGCTGGAAGGACAATGGGAAACAAGGCCTCGTATTCAAGGACTAACCTTGTTTGAGCATCCCAGTGCGTAAGCAACACCGGGAAGTGAGTTGGGAACTTCTGGAAATTGTTAGCATCCCACTGACCTAACCTAGATCATGAATTGATTCAGTCTGAAAAGTGACTCATGTCTCAGAAAACAGCTCATCAGGTGGAAGACTGCACTTCCAATGTTCCCACACATGCCTCCCATGTTTGCTACGTGTGTATTTATTATGTGACTTGACCAGTTTTATGTTCTGTAAGTGACTGCAATTGGCTGTTTTGCCAAAAGCCCTTCATTTGATTGTATATCATAATACTGCCACTCAAAAATATTACTTTTAAACTTGATAAGCACAGGGGGAAAACCTTTTCCTAAATGATCTATCAAGCGAGTGCACTGTTATTTCTTACCTTCAGAAGTGTGACTCGCAGTACCCCAGCACAATTGGACTTGCAGGCGACACTCTCACTCCTCTGTTGCTTTTGGGAAGAGACCCTACCTGTGTGCCCACTTCTAACCTGCTGACTTTTAGAAATCAATGCCATTATCACGGACTTGTAGGCGACACTCTCACTCCTCTGTTCCTTTTGGAAAGAGACCCTACCTGTGTGCCCACTTCTAACCTGCTGACTTTTAGAAATCAATGCCATTATCCTGGAGTAATTTTCTCAGAATTGTAACGAGCCCCTCACATCATTATTAGGATGACTGGATTATAAAAAGATGATACAATGATGTCTAATCATCTCAAAGTAACAATGCATTGAGTCAGCCTTCCAAGCACGTGTTGTCAAGAACTCGTACTCTGATAAGAGTTCTCCACTCACTCGCTGACCTTTAGCTTTTCCACACATCGCAGCAATCACAGACATCCCATCCAGGAGCTAGCTCGCCAGGGGAGGACCGCACTGTGGGTACTTACAGCTTCTTCTGAGGCGAGCCACTCGGGTGTCCACCTTACGTCTAAGGAAACCAACACACAGAACACCCCGCTCCCATATGGATGGTGAGAAGAGAATACATACCTTGGGTGACAATGGTTGGCGGTTGCAAGACAATGTGCCTTTGGGCCACGCCAACAAGGTACGGCAGTAATTGCTCCTGGAGGTCCCCAAAGCTACGGAATTCCGGGACAGTAAACACCAAGTTGTCATCGGTAGCTATGTGCTGCAGCTCTGCCCTGGAGGCGGCCTGGGCTCCGAGGCCAAACGAGAACACGCTAGCCTGCTTCAGCGCCACCACCCCGTCACGAATCTCGTCACTAGAAGGCCCAGCACTTATGAGGACCAGCACCTGGGGAACCCCTTCCTCCACTCGGCTGCCCCCTGCCCGGGTGAAGTGATTCTCCACTACAAAATCAAGGGCAAGGCCGATATTGGCCAACTCCCCACCAGCGAAGCCAAGGGCTTTCACTGCATCCAGAACCTGAGCCTTGGTGGAGTAGGTATCCAAGGAGAACATGGTTCTGGGTTCATCACTGTACTGGACCACCCCCACTCGGATCTGCTGAGTTCCAACTGAGAGTCTCTCAAGGAGATTTACAAGGAAGTCACGAAGGAGTGCGAAATGGACACTTCCGGTGTTGTTTGATCCATCAATAAGGAAAATAATGTCAGCAGAGTCTTGTGCTTTAAAAGAAAGAAACGCAAAAAACGTGAAAGCGTTAAGACACGTGATCACATGCATTGTTCGGCGTTCTGACATGTTTCTTTGGAAACCAATAAGAAACACGAAATACAGACAAATGAAACAGTGTTGATTAAGGAACGTGAAAATCTCTTTCAGTTCTGCATTCTGAATGGATACAAGGCAACTTCTCCAAAATTGTGATGTATAATAGGGGCATTTGCATCAAATTTTCATTTGTGTTATCTTTGGAGCTCAATTCCAAAACACTCATATTCACCTTTCTAAGGGAGAAACCTTGGGTACATATTCTGGAAATATCTACTAAATTTGAAAGGAAATGCAGTTGCATGGGATTGTGGATTAGCCTTATCTACGAGAAAACATAAATGAGTAGATTAACGAAAATCCAAAGGTGAGTTCTAATTTTGGACATTTCTCCAGCCCCTGCACACAATTATAAGAATTTTTTGTAGCAATCCACAGCTGCAAAGCAGAATCTCAGATTCACAGTCTGGTGACTCATCACCCAGTGTGTTGCTTGCTTGATTCCTTTGAGCAATGATTATTTCTTCTTTTTTTCTTTACAAATCAAAATGGCTGAGCAACTTTGTGAATCAGAACTCAAACGACGTTTAAAGTTTTAAAGCATTTAAAAATAGTTGGATGAATTTTTGATGTGATTTTCTTTTCTCACATGATGTTTAGTTGTATGAAACTCAGCTTCAGGTTGGGACTGGGCTAGATGCTTTTTGCATTTATTTTTGCCGTTGCCTCTATATTCAGTCATATAATGCAGAACAATGTTAAGCAGAGTGATATGGAACCAGTCATGACATAATTATCCAACCATATTTTTATGACATCCTAAACTAATTACCTAGCAGGACCATAAGCATCCAATAAACCCTTAGTCATAATTAGCTCTGGAGTTATACAAAGGACATAAAAGGCAGACTAAGACCTCCTTTCTCCCCATAATGGCAATGATGAAATTTCCATTCTGTTATTGAGAATGGGAGTTACACAGAAACACTGAGCGAGGAATAGTGATCAATAAACCTACAAACCAGAGCAGAGTATTTCAAAGTCTCAGCTAGAACATTTAAATCACACTGATTTAAACCAGAGGAAAAGCAAAATTAGTAAATGTTTTTAATAACTTAAGTGTATGTTAGGGACAGGAAGAGATTTCATGTGCATATATACGATATTCATAATCTATCCCACATCTATTTATATGAGATTCCAGAAAGCTCCATTTGGGGTAAAATTGTAATATTACGTGTAAGACCATTCATTCTGATTTTATCATGACAGTGAACATTTTATGTTTAAAATTAATTTTCGTCGTGCCAGCAAAATTGTTTTTTATTCTCACTATGGAAAAGGATGCAAATTTTGTCTCATAAAATTGAAGAATTTCGTGCTCATGAAACTACATTCTTGTCCAAGCGCTCCCACTGTGTAAGCAGCTGCAACAGGGATTGCTGGAGTTGAAGCTGCTCTCTCTCTTCCCTTATACACACCAAAGCCCCTGACAACATTCATGCAGATTAGTTTTTTGCAGAGGGAAATATATTATCTTGGAAATATTGCTATCACAGTCATTCTTATATAACAAGAAGGATAATTATTTTGCTACAATAATTAAGATCTCGTGTTTTAATAATTGTCACACAAAAGTATCAAATAAGACTGGGAATTTATTTAGAACTCCAAAGTATTTGCCACTCTTCAGCCAAAATGTAGGATTTCTAAAGGATCTCTAGGAGGGCGTGGTGTCAGTATTAATTATATAGCAGGCCATAAAAATGGGCCACATCATCATATAAGACAGAGGCTCTGCAAATTTTGTCTCACACAAAATTCTTCTGCATTTCCCAGGCCTAAATCTATGCCCCAAAGGACCGGGGAGGGTTTGCCATTTACTCAGTATATTGTGACATTTAGAATAAGGACTAACTATAATCAATAGGGACAATTTTTTAAAATGATACATAAGTCATAAGATGACACTATTCCTTCTTCATTTATCACTTACTTTTTGGTTGCAATTTATAAAAGCGTAAATAAAATAAATGAACCTGAGGGAAAATCCTTGAATATTTCTCTTCTAAAAGTCTGAACATCTACAGCAGCAGGTCATAGAAAAATGTTGGATAATTTGTCATCACTGAATAAAACACATTGTCCTCTTACACACACAATAACGGGACACACAAGAGCATGCTTTGTTATCCGGGAGAGCCAAAGCCTCAACTAGGCACAGGAGCCGTGGGTTCTGGTGTACAGCCAGGCAAACCGACTACCAATACTAATTCTAAGAGTAATCAGATCTATCCGAAATTTTAAAATTTAGAAGTTGTCTGGTTTTTTGCTTTTATGGCTCACATATCACACCGTCTGTGGTGTTTTCTATGGAAAAGTGTCAGAATGTTCAACAAAAAATCTCAGGCCCCTTCAATAGCACTGGAAATGCTGTTTTCCTGAGCCTGTTGCTGTGGGCACAACGCCTTTCTCAGTTCATGGGATGCTCCCTTCTGTTCAGAAGAAAAAATTGCATGCTTGTTTCCTAGGCAAATCAAAAAACTGTAGATATGTTTCAGGAATTTTTAAAAGTTTATATTTTGCAGAGAAAAGAAAGCTCATGAGGAAACCACCACTACCACCTTTAGCTTTCGTTTCACAATGAAGGTTTTGGATCTTAGTTACATCCACCTTTAAAAGGATGATAAAGGGGCTTTTAAAAACACAACCATGAGAACTGGATTATCTGAGCAGAGTTCATTCAGAAGTGGTGATCCTCAGCATTCTCTACATAGACATGTTTTATAATCAAGAACACTCTGTGGGGAAAAGTTACTTCATAGACAGGTAATGAGAAGAAAATGTCTAACTTATTAGCAATGTCTGTAACGCCCTCCTGACTGCCTTTCCCAAAGCCTATAAGCAGAGACTTACTATCATTATTTTTTTTTTGCCATGGAACATGCAGTGGGACATGGTACTAGAATAATTGCAGAGTGAAGTTAATTAGAAAAGACAACATAAATAGATTAATATTCCACCCTGGTGCTGCTAGTGGCTTGGACACTAGAAGACAGAGATGTTTTCTGGGCATAAAAACAAAGGTTTTATCATCTGTGTGGAAGTACACGATGTTGATAGGCACCTTTAGCATTTGCTATGGTAATTTCATTGTGTTTCCATTTATGTGATGATTAAGCATAAAGGCAAACTCATCTTTTCCTTTCCATGGTTTGCCAAAACATCAATGAAAACATGCCCCATTTCTCTATTGATCCCCTTTACTGTTTTTTGGCATGTCTTTGATATTATCCCTATATTTAAAACTGTGATGGATCAGTGAATTATTGATACTAGAACTATTGCAGCCAATAGAGAAGGTCATTGTATGCTCCCGTCATTTCTTTGTAACTGGAGGGCTGGGTTTGGGGTGCTCCTGAGGACCCCCTCCTTTTCCTGTAATCTGGCAGCATCAACACCTGCGCCATAATGCCAGAGGTGAAGCCCATCATTTGGAAGCAGGGAACGCTCTTCAGTGCCACGGGTAAATAACCAGACTGTCTCTCACTCCTTTCTATTGAGAAGTAGACCCAGCAGTAAGGGCATTAGCACTCCCGCACATCAAAATCGGAATCATGGGTTACCATTGGGGAAACCATTTTATGGACAACCTTCTGAGACACGTGGGGTTGGTTAGCTCTGAAACCCTTCTCTTACCCAAGCTCTGCCTGCCCAAGCCAGCCACTTCCTCTCTTCTGACATCCAATCCTCTCCCTCCCTGCCCCCTGCTTTCTGAATCCCTGTTATGAAAAACTCATGTCTGGCACTGCTTCCGCCGTGACTCGGCTCACAACCCAGAAGAGTCTGCCTTTTCTCTAGCCACCTCCTGCTCTGTCTGCCCTTCCTTAGGTCCCTCTTACATGCTTTTTAGATTGCTTGATTTATGCCTCAAAGCCTCAACTCTTTCTTCTTCCTGCTGCATCTGCCATCTTGAATTAACAAGAGACTGACTTTTCACTGGTCACCTTCCTTCCTGTCTCCTGTCTCTGCAACCCTCTTGGTGGTAACCACTTTCAGAAGCTCAGTAGAAAAGCTGCCCATAACTTGCTTCCCATGATTCTTTCCTCCATGCTGTGCATGCCCACCTGGGCCCAGTTGCTCATTCACTCTTCCTTCATTCAAAGAATTATCCACTTCCTCATTGCAGCTAAGTACACTGAACAGGTTCTCCAACATTCCTAACTGATTACAGTTACATCGTGCTCCACCTCTGTCCACACTGCATGCTCTGTGGTCATGTCCAGAGATGTTCACGTCTATGTGGATAACCCTTCAGAGCTCCGGCCTCTCAGGTCTTCAACTTCCTCACCCCTAGTGGCCCTCTGCCTGTTGCCCCTGCACATGTGAATGCCACATGGGAGCAACTCTTGGATCTCTTCCAGGCTCACGATCTGCCCTCAGAATCTCCCTCTCTGTAGGCCGGCAGTGTCCCCTGCTTACACGCTCAGCTGCCTCTAGGGCTCTTCTGCCTCCTGCTGGCCCATTCCTGCTCTCATCTGCTTCCCCACCCAGCCAGGACTCCATGGTGTGCTATTTCAGGGATTGACTAGCTAACACTCTGGATTTCCTTTCTGAGCACAGTTTCTTCTTTCCTCTCTGTCATTCCCTCTTTGCAAGTTCCAAATCCAGTAGCTCCTTTGATTCCAGGAGAGCATGAGACACCTGCAGAAAGTCAGGGTCCACACTAATGGAGAGGACTGCAGGCTGGGGATTGCTGACAATGGCTGGATGACACTGCAACTCGGTGGCTGCTTCATGAGCATTTGTGACCTCCTTGTCACAGCCCTGCAGCAACTGCTCAAAAATAAGTCCAATCTCTCCAAGCTCCCAAACCCTACCACCACCACCACCACCCCTTCGGCATCTCCTTTGTTGAGGTGACTGAAGCCAACTCACCTTGAATTCTCTCAACTTCCCTCCTGGCCACCTCACAATCTGAAAAACACAGCCCCTTTCTCTTCCCTTCGCTCTGCCTCAGAGGACAGGCATCTCTCCTTTCTGGAGCTCATCTCTCCCTCGACTCCTCCCTAACTCCCTGTCCCTCCTACCCAAAACTCTGCTATCAACTGACAAGTGGCTGCAGACTCGTTCTCTGACAAAGGGAGGTCCCTCTACCCTGCCCATCACAGATGTGTAAGCCTAGCTCTGGGCACTCATCAGAACTGCTATGGTACGGTACATCCTGAATTCTCCTCATCAAATCTCTTCCCCTTCGATCCTTCAGGTGCTTAGCCCTGGAAGGAGAGCTAATGGGCTTGCTGCTTAAATTACTTGTTGGCCAGTTAGCTCCGTAACTGTCACCGTGCAGCAACATGTCAATACAATGTGCATGTGGCATCGATACCTCCAGAGTGGCCCTGATGAGGGCTGTTAGAACTAGAAGCATCTCTGTGGGCTCAGCCATGGTTTTGGCTGGAGGAGGAGGAAGACCAGACCCACAGCCAAGACACGAAGCCTCCAGCTCTGGCTCTTTTACTGACTGCATGTCACATACCCACCAGGGCTCAATTTCTTCAAAATACACTTGGGCTGTATCACATCTAAGATTTCTTGTAATTCTATTAGTTATCTGAAATAAATTCCATACGGCAGCAGAAAGGAGGTCTCTGCTCTTCCACTAGACACAAAAGTGGATGTCATCTTTCGCCTCTCAGCTCACACCCTTTCCAACATGGAGCGTTCACTAAAGGAAACAGGCCTTCTACTCCAACAGCAGAGGGGAGGCAGTTTTATTAGATGCCTATCTAGCCAGGTGGAGGCTTTACTTCCGTCTCAGCTCACACCCTTTCCAACACGGAGCGTTCACTAAAGGAAACAGGCCTTCTATTCCAACAGCAGAGGGGAGGCAGTTTTATTAGATGCCTATCTAGCCAGGTGGAGGCTTTACTTTCTAAGGAAGGTAAAAACATCTCTTATGGGATCATAAGGTCAAAACATGTTTTTGTTGTTATTTTGAAGTTTTTTGGGGGGCTGGCTGGTACAGGGATTGAACCCTGGACACCAACTGAGCTAACCAGTCAGCCACAGAATGTACTTTTTTAGAGTTGAGATATTAGTTGTTTCATAAACAAAGACCTCCTCCCGGATGTAGGTGAATGCTCTACCAGAGGAGACTGTAGAAGAACGTACAAACCTTTGTTTTTAAACCTGCGAATAGTCATCTCTTCTCTAATCCGCCCACATCTCTTAGCCACAGCGTTGATTCAAGGCCAGCAGGTTGCCAAGCTCATCTCCACAGAACAGCAGAGCAGGGAGCAGCTTGGCAATGTCACCATTACCTGTGATGTCTTTAAGGCTTTCCGTGTCCCCAGCCCTTTCTGGACTCACGGATGAATGCACACAGGACACTAAGTTTCCTACTATGTCATGAAGGGAGGTAAAATTCTCTAGGTTGAAAACATGCATATTGAGTGGTTCACTTGCTATTTCTTTTAAGGCTCCTTCATCTGCATCCTCAACTCCAACTGCAAACACGTTAACGCCAGCAGATTTAAGTCCCGCTGAGGGCAGGGTGAGGCCGCCCTCCGAGTGTCCATCGGTCAACACTACGATAACCTGAGGGACTCCATCACTGGCCCGGCTTCCAGCAGCCTCAGACAGGTGATTTTGAATTACGTATTCTAATCCTTTTCCAGTCTCATTGCTTCCCCCAATATAAGACATGTTGGAAATATGGGAAAGGACTTCTTGTTTAGTGTGATACGTATTTAACAGGAACTCGGTATGTGGGTTTCCGTTGAACTGGACCAGGGCAAAATGGAAATCATTTTCTCCCACAGCTAAAGATTGTATAACATCATACAGAAACTCTCGAACAAGTTGGAAATGTTCCTTTCCAATGCTCCAAGAGGAATCCACTAGAAATATTATATCGGCAGCAGCACCATTTTTGACATCTTTAAAAAAAGACATTGGTTTAGATTTTTCTACTGTTCAAACAATTACTTCCTATCAGTGCAAAACCTTCCTAGACAAACTCAGTTGACACTGTGCTGTCACTAAATAATTGACACCTCTCTTGCAATATAGCCAGCTAGCCTGACTTACCTGAGAAGCAGGGACCTGGGCACCTGGACTCAACAGCTGCTAGTGCCCAGGCATTAGCCCCAGTTCTGTACTCAGTGACCACCACTCATGGGCCAGTGGCATGCTCCAGAAAGGGGATATTCCCTGGGTGTCTTTTAACTCAGGCATGATTCACTGTGGCAGTGTGAGCCCCAAGACCCACCTGTTGGGGCCAGAAGGATGCCTAATGCCAGATAACCAAGCGTCATCTTACACATTTATTCTTCAGTTTGGGATATGAAATTGGGCCTTGACAATTAGGAAAAGTGAAACCTACTACTGTTTTACATTTATTAACTGCCAACACTTTGTGTAATTCGCAAGAAAAATCAATGTAATAAATACAGCTTCTTTAAGTGAGGAAGACCCGTTTAAGTGCAGAGAAGGGAAGAGTCTCATTTTTCCCAGATTTTTATGAGCATGAAGAAAGGTACTCTAACTAGTTACTACATATATTTCAGGGCCCCCCAAAAAATCTTCATAGATGTTGAACACAATTTATCTCATTCACAGATGAATCCAGATCTCTCTCAAGGGGTATCAGGCCAGCCGTGGCACGGGAGGTGCACTCAGCCGCTGTGGCCCAGGCAGGTTCCTGGACTCTACTTACCTCGGGCAGACCTGATGCCCCAATCCACATTCCTCTTCCACCAAGGTGGCACTAGCCACCCCTCCATCTAAGAGCACCCTGGCCTCGTGGGAGAATCCCGGTCAGGGGCCCAGCTCTCCAGGCAAAGGAGAAGGGAGACCCAAGACGATCCTTCCCAACTTGCAATGCATGAAGGATTTCTGGCTTTTCTAAAACTCTGAAAGCAAATTCTGAATAGGATTTATTAGCATCTATAGTTTTAAAATCGTTTTTGGAAACAGATTTTTTAAAGATCCAATGATTCTAGATGAAAAAATATCTTTGTCTAGAATTAGAGAGAGAGTGATCTTTGTTTTTGGCTTTTTTAGGAAAATTAATTTTTACTTTCAATAATTGTCTTCTCCCTATTTTATGTGCTCAGAGACCAGCCAATGACAGAAATGTGGAAAATCTCTTTGGATGGGGAAACATTCAAGATCCAAACTTTCCGCTTACACCCAATGTGAAAACAAACCACTTTCAAACCAACTCCAAGATATCAAACCCAAGTTTTAGTAAAAATAACTCATCTCGCACTGGATAAAGCATATCTGAAAAGGTCTATAAACTAAATGAATATCCTATAATAAATGGCTTAGCTATCTCTTAAAGACATATCTAAGCTCTATATCAACCTCATGAGGTCTAAGATATAAAATCAAAAAATGCTATTTACTTTTTATAAAACTAAGGATGTTTCTGGATCTTACCTGCTTGTTGTTGGCCATGAGTCATGGAAAAGCCTGAGAGAAAGAGGCACAAGACGGCCACTAAGGGCAGGTGCCGGTGTTTCCTCATTTTGAATTTGTCTGAGCACCAAGTGTGAACCTAAAAGAGAAAAGAGGGCAGAGGGGAATGATCCATTTCTGACTCTCACGCTGCATAATCCCTCAAAATCCCATGCGCTCTGTGTCCTGTGTAGACTTGCAAGGGGGCTTAGTATCTGACTCACTCTTCAGACCAGCAGCAAAAGGAGAGATGATAAATAGGTGGGTAGACAGGTTAGATGGATGCACACATACGTGCATAAAAATAGACGGAGAATACACACCCATATACATGACTATAGACATACACAAACAGGAGAAAGAGAGAGAGAAAGAAAGGAGAGGGAAAGAGGGGTGAAGGGAGACAGGGAGGGAAGGAGGTCGGTGAATGAGAGTTGGAGGAGACGCAGACAGAGGCAGCTTCCTGGCTAGGAGCCCTCTGACCTTTGCAGTTAGCAGGACATAGATCACCCTGTGACAGAGCCACTCACTTTCCTAGCTGGACCTTCTGAAACACACTTGAAAGAACACAATTTTTTTTAAATGGACATTCATAATGGTTTCTCGACAATCGGAAGATATTTTCTTTCTTTGTTCAAATTACTAACTAATGAACCAAGGATTTATCCCTTTTATGAAAAGCAGTTTCTTTTTTTTTGTTTGTTTTTTGTTTTTTAAAAAAGATGACCGGTAAGGGGATCTTAACCCTTGGGAAGATATTTTCTTTCTTTGTTCAAATTACTAACTAATGAACCAAGGATTTATCCCTTTTATGAAAAGCAGTTTCTTTTTTTTTTGTTTGTTTTTTGTTTTTTAAAAAAGATGACCGGTAAGGGGATCTTAACCCTTGACTTGGTGTTGTCAGCACCACGCTCAGCCAGTGAGCGAACCGGCCATCCCCATATGGGATCCGAACCCGTGGCCTTGGTGTTGTCAGCACCGCACTCTCCCGAGTGAGCCACAGGCCGGCCCTGAAAAGTAGTTTTGATTAAACATATAAATGAAAATCTTTGGCTCTAGTGACTGTATTACTTTGGCCACAGTTAAAAAAACTATGGAATTACCTTTTTTTTTTGGCTCCCAAATTGAAGCAGACAGCAATTTGGAAACAGCATATTAGAATGGAAGAGGGTCAGGAGCAAAAACTCTTAGGCACCAAGAGTGGCAGGTTTATGACACCCCACTTAAGTTTGTAAATCATGTTTAAAGGAATCTCAGAGGAAAGCTTCAGTTCATGGAGAGAACAGGCTTTGCCCAAATTACATCATGTGCAAACCCAACCACAGCAGCTAGGGCTATTTCAAACCCTGCTTTTGTTCTCTATTAATACTTAGCACTTTTCCTCCAAGGAAAACCTGCCATATGCCAACCTCCAGTCTCACAATGGAACAAGCCCAGGGAGAATTAGCAAGACTGCGAAGCCAGACCTGAGGGTTAACTGCTGTGCTGCACTGTCTCCCACGCCCATGTACCAGCTGGTGGCTGCAAACACGACTTCCAGCCAGCCAAGTTCACTTTCACATGGGCTCAGCAGCCTGTGTCATCAGACCTTTTTCCTGCCACCAACACCTTCTCTACCCACCCCAAACCTTCCAGTCAGCCTCTTCACCCTCCAGTCCCCAATCCAATGAGACCAGCTTGGGGACTGGGGTCCTCCCTAAGACCCCTCCAGAGAGCTGGCCTAAGTCTTTCTGTCCAGGCTAAAGCCCCCTTGCCAGGACAGCACCTCGTTTCTCCTCCCGTTTGCCCAAGGCTCTGTTTCCCCTTCCCCACTTTTCTTAGGCTGCAGCCGGGCTGCAACAGGATTCCGTGCTCAGAAGGGCTTCATGCCTGAGCTGGGGCTTTTCTGTTGCTGTCTTGGACTTCTTAATAACTTTTGGACAAGGGACCCCTCCTTTTCATTTTTCTCTGGTCCTGCAAATTACGTAGCTGGTCTTGTCTGCAGCCATGCCTGTCAGTCATTCTTCTTGCCTAGACGGGTCGGGGGTTCCCTGATCAGGGGTTCTCTGGTCAGGGGTCTGGGTAACAGTACTGGGGAAGATGGGGCATTGGCAACACCAGTAGGTCAGACTGTCACCAAACCAGTGTCTTCGATGTCGTGTTATCAAAAGTCATTCAGCATCTACCATGTGTCCATTGCTGTTTTTCATAATTTATCTCATTTATCTTTGTATTTTCCTGCTAGTAGATGCTGACCCCCATGCTTATGGTGAAGAAATTAAAATTTTTCTCTCCATGAAAACTTCATGATTCCATGACAACATGTCAATAAGGTTCACAGCCTGAATTTGGGCTTTTCAGAAACTAGAAAAAGAGCCAGCGATGTTGGGGAAAGACAAGATGCTAGGAGTCAGAGAAACCTGGATCCTGGATCACCACACCCTGCCTTGGGCAGTTCACTTAATTGCCAAAGCCTCAGTTTCCTCACCTCTAACATGGAAACAATAATAATAATAACAGGAATAGCACCTCTCTTTCCAGCCTTCTGGGAGGACTGTACGGTGGGCTGCTTGTTAAATGCCTGACACAGAAGGCTAGTAAGTGAATTATAACTACCATTCTCCTCCAAGGTGGGTTTTGTCAGCATTTCCCAAGGTATATTCTATGGAACTCTCATTCCATGAAAAGTTCTAAGGGGAAAAAGGAAGGCGTTCCACACGCTACAGAGCTTGGGAATCGCTGAATACAAAACCTTCTTCTGGAACGGTTGCAACGCAAATTAACATACAGCAGCTCTGAGAAGTAAAGAAACCTGTCGTGTTTTATTTAATCCAGAATTTCCAAAACATACATTTCATAACACCTTTTTTCGATAATGGCTATTCACTCCCCATGAAACAAGCTGCACACACTGGGGGCAACGGGCTATTCATGTCTGCGTCTGATTTGGGTAAGTCCTTGCTACTCTGAAGCACCAGCTAAAGGCTTCTTCACCTGCCTAGGTCTTCACTGGACCCAGGTCGCCGGGGTTTGCAGATGTCTGTTCTCTTGGACTCCACTGACTACGAGTGGGGATCCATGTCTTTTGACAGTGGATCCCCAGTAACAAGTAAGAGGGTTGAAATGTGTAGATGACCAAAGTCTTCCCCAAAGAGGCCCAGGGGAGGGGCCAGAGTCAATCTCATCAGCAGCATGGACTTCCATGGCACTAGTTAATGTTGCCAATTATTTTTTCTTTTCCTGAGTTTCAGGAAGAACTACTGGATATTGGAAATGATATTGTACAAATTACAGTTAATTGGGAAATCCCATTTGGTTCAGGATATTGGGTAATCATCATGATTTATATTTCACTGTTAGGGTATGAATGTTCAAAAGAAGGCTTTGTAGTGAATTACAACGTGTAAAGGCATTCAGCATCAGTGTGAATGAAAATCAAACTACAAAACATTGCTGAAAGAAATTAAAGAAGATACAAATAAGTGGAAAGGCATCCCATGTTCATGGATTTGAATATTTATATTGCTAAAATGTTCATTCTACCCAAAGCAATCTACAAATTTAATGCAATCCCTACCAAAATCCCAATGGATGTTTTTGCAGAAATAGAAAAAAATACTTAAAATCCACATGAAATCTCAAAGGACCATGAATAGCCAAAGCAATAATGAGGAAAAAAAGCAGAGCTGGAGACCTCACACTTCCTGATTGCAAAACATATGAAAAAGTTATCAAGTAATCCAAGCAGTATGACACTGGCATAAAGACAGACATTTAGACAAGTGGAACAGAATAGAGAGCCCAGAAATAAATTCATAAATAAGATCATAAAAATGATCTTCAATAAGGGGGCCAAAGCTGCACAATGGAGAAAGGACAGTCTCTTAAACAAATAGTGTTGTGAAAACCGGGTATTCACGTGCAAAACAGAGTGAAGTTGAGCCCTTACCTTATATGATATACAAAAATTAACTCAAAATGAATTAAAGACCTAACTGTGAGACCTGAAATTATAAAAGTCCTAAAAGAAAACGTAGGGGAAATATTCATGACATTGGATTTAGCAATGATTTCATGGATATAACGCCAAAAGCACAGGAAACAGGAGCAAGAACAGACAAATGGGACCACATCAAGATTAAGAACTTCTGCACAGCAAAGGAAAGAATCAACAGAATAAATAGGCAACCTATGAAATGGAAGAAATACTTGCATATCATATATCTGTTGAGGGGGTAATAACCAGAATATGTAAAAAAAAAAAAGTCCTACAACTCAACAACAACAACAAAATAATCTGATTTTTAAAATGGGTAAGGGACTTGAATAGACATTTCTCCAAAGAAGATATAGAAATGGCCAACAAGTATATGAAAAGATGCTCAACATCATTAGTCAATAAAGAAATGCAGGTCAAGACCATAATGAGATATGACCTCACACCCATTAAGATGGCCACTATCAAAAAAATTTTTAAAAAGTAAGTGTTCATGAGGATGTGGAGAAATTATAACACCTGTGCACTGTTAGTGGAACTATAAAGTGGTGTAGCTGCTATAGAAAATAGTATGAAGGTTCCTCAAAAAATTAAAAACAGAATTACTGTATGATCCAGCAAACCCACTTCTGGGTATTTGTCCAAAAGAATTGAAAATAGAATGTCAAAGAGATATTTGCACACCCATGTTCATTTCAGCATTATTCATAATATCCAAGAGCTGGAAACAACCTAAATGTCCATCAACAGATACTAGATAAAGAAAATGTGGTATACGGATACAATGAAATATTACTCCTACTTTAAAAAGAAGGAAATCCTGTTATATGCTGTAACATGGATGGGATCTTGAGGACATTACGCTAAGTGAAATAAGCCAGTCACAAAAAGACAAGCACTACATGATTCCACATATGTCAGGTACCTAAAGTAGTCAAACTCTTAGAAACAGAAGGCAGAATGGTGGTTGCCAGTTGAGGGGATGAGAACTGGGGAGTTGCTTTTCAATAAACGTAGAGTTTTAGTTTCTAGATATTTGTTGCACAACGAGGTACATATAGTTAATGCTACTGTACTGTACACTTAAAAACGGTTAAGATGGTAAATTGTGTGTTACGGTGCTT